TATTAACCTAATACTGTTCCCTAATACTATTAGGGAATCACTAGGGTGGGCCAACAGTGTGAGCCAGGGTAATGGAGACTCAGATGTGGTGACCGTCTGCTGGTTCTGTGTGGTGGGAAGGATCTCAGAAAAGGAACAATGGCTTCTGCCAGGACGTCTTTCTGGCAGAAAGCTGCCCCTCCAGCTCTCGCCCTGATGCCACACAATTCAGTTCCTCCCATGTGTCCCTGATTCCTTTCAAGCTGCTACCCCAGTGCCAGAGCTCAGAGGAAATGAGTCAAAATAAGGACCCATATATGGGTCCTGTAAGAGGAATGTCAGGGATTCCGGAAGTCCTTCATTTCACTCAGCCACAATCCCTGCTGGTTTTTACAGCTGGAAGTTATGGAGACTTCTCTCCTTGGCACCGGAACCCTGGTCTGGGGAGTGCGATGTGGGGCTGGGACCCATCTCTCCTCAGGGGACCAGCACAGCTGAGCTATCCCTCCCAATTTTCATTTGCCACACATGGGTGCGGGACCAGTCCAACCTGCATCTCCATCCCACTGCCAGTCTCAGTGTGGCAGCTTCTTTAAACACATTCAGCTAGATTTAAGATGGTTCTAAACGATGGTTTTCTTTAGTTTCATCGTAATTTTGATGTGGTCGTGGGAGGATTCAAGTACCACTTTTACCTGTATCACCATCTTGACCAGAGGTGCAACTGTATCAGTTCTTTACTTTCTCAGTTGTTTTTAATTTCATGATAAGACTCCCCTTCCCACCCTTATCCTAAAATCCCAGTCTGTACATAGTAATGTTCTCTTTCTGGACTCTTGATCCTCCATTCAAAAAAAAATTTTTTTTTTTTCAATCTTCACCAAAGGATGTATTTACTGATTTTGGACAGAGAGGAAGAGAAAGAGAGAGACATTGATGTGAGAAACTCGGATCAGTTGCCTTTCTTATACACCCTGACAAAGGATTGAGCTCGCAACTTAAATATGTGCCCTGACCAGGAATTGAAATTGAACCCACAACCTTTTGGTGTACAGGACAATGCTCCAGCCAGCTGGGCCACCCAGCCAGGGCTTTCCATATAAGATTTTAAGTTGCCCTAGAGCAGATCATTGTCGGGGGGGGGGGGGGGGGGACCAGGCACTGTAAATACTGCTTTATTAGGACTTCTTTAAATAGTGAAAATGTATTTCAGTGAATTTCCTAATTTCCTTGGTGTACCTTTACACATAAATATTGTTAGAGCGATTCCTGGTTATTTTATGTTTTTTCTTATTACTATATGACACATCTCTGAAAAATGATTTTATTTGCTGAATTATTAAAACACATTTGATTTTTAATAGTGACCTTAACCAATAGTTTCCCAAATTAATATCTAATAGTTTTTTTTACATATTGTTTTCATTTCATGTTTAGATAAATCATTTCTACAAATAAGTTTTTTACTTTCAATCCATTAACTTTTTTTCCCCTCATTTTTCTGAGTGGAACCTTCAGCATAATGTCAAATAAGTGGAAAAACATTAGTGGCATCCTGATTTAAAAGAGAAACTTCTAATGTGTCATCATTAATAAGTATTTGTGTTACTGGTATATTCTGATTGTGAGTTAAGGAAATTCCGGGGTGGTTGTTTCTGTTTTTGTTGTTTTTTCTTGTTTTATGAAGAAGGCATGTAGAATGTTATCAGATACTTTTTCTGAAAATAGTGAGATTATGTATTTTTTCTGCCAACATTTTGCTTAGAAATGTACATTTATGTTAGTGAGACTGCAGTACTGTAGGAGATCATTCTGCATGGTGTGGGCCCAGGTCCCACTCGGAGATGCACAGAACCCACACCCACGGATGGCTTCTTCCATGGGGAATCAGGCCTGTAATATGCCTAGGCTGCTTTGAGTCTTGCTTTTGCCTCACCAGGATTTGTGGCAAACGTTTACTGCAAAATAACTTCTTAAAATTCATGCTAAACCTTCCAAGGATGAGTGTAACTGGTTCAACCACTTTTGCCTCTTCATTTGCAAATATCCCTCTTCTGTGATGTGATTAGCAGCATTGGCTCCTTTGTTTTCTGTAAAAGGTAACCACCTAAAGCAACCTGTGCATAGTAAATAAGGATGATAATGTAAGATAATGTAATGTGCTGAGAAACCCAATAAAGGCCAGTCACAGGAAGGGCCAAGGCTTTTGCTCTTTTTGAGAGAAAAGCCATGCTTGACCTTTTCCTCCCCGGGACTCAGTAGTCCATGTGAATGTCTCTCCCCCATCCACAATGTCGCAGACCTCATGAGTCAGGGTGCACATCACAGTGCTGTCTCCTTTTCATTCCTATCATTATTCATTTGACTTTTCACCAAAACTGTATCTATTTTGTTATTGTTACTCTTTTCAAACTACTTTTACCTTTCTCTCGATTGAATCTTTATCTTCCATTTTTTTCCTTCTACGCCTTGATTTTTAAAATGTATTTGATGGATTTTTATTTGCCTTTTCTAATATTTCAACCAACTTGTGTCTTTGAATTTAAAGTGTCACAGACACTGGTTGGATATTGCTTTTCCAGTTTGACAGTTAATATTTGTTAATTATTGATGTAGATTTGCCACTTTGTTTTTCACATCTTATGTATCTTATCTTTATTTTTCATCTCTTCATCCTGCTTCCTTTTTTATTAAACAAATTTTTTTAGTATGCTCTATTCATTCTTATTGATCTTTTAAACTTTTTTTTAGTTGGTGCTTTAGGAAGTACAGCATGCACTTTTAATTTATTACACTATTTAAATAAATACTGGTACAATTCTGGTAAAATATAGCAAATTTGGATCAGTATAGCTTCATTTTCTTAATTTTGTTTGTGCCATTATTGTCATATATACTACTTTTGTTTATGTTGTAAACTCAGTGTTGTGATTACCGATTTAAACAATTTTTAAAGAAATTAAGAGTATATAAACACACATATGTGCACACACTCTCCTGTGTTTACCTTCATGTGTATTATTTCATCTTTCCTTCCTAAAGATTCTCATTTCACGTTTCCATCTAGTGTCATTTTCTTTCATCCTGTAGTATTTTCTTGTCTTTTTCTTTTTTTTATTGTCTTTTATGTTACCATTTATCCCCCTTATATTCCCTTCCTCCCAGCAATCACCACACTGTTGTCAATATCCCTGAATCCTTTTTCCTTTTTGCTCAATCCCTCTACCACAAACCCTACTCTTCAGGATTGTCATCCTGCTCTCTTTGAATCTGTCTGTATTTTGCTTATTAATTCAGTTTGTTCATTAGATTCCACTTAGGAGTGAAACTGTGTGGTATTTGTCTTTCTCTGACTGGCTTATTTCAGTTAGCATAATGCTCTCTAGGTCCATTCATGCTGTTGAAAAGAGTAAAATTTCTTCTTTTTTATAGCCAAGTAGTATTCCATTGTGTAAATGTCCCAAGTCTAGAGCTAATTACTTCCATTTTCATCTGAAAATGTGCTCATTTTACCTTCATTTTTTAAAGACAGTTGTTTAGAATATAGAATTCTTAATTGACTTTTTTCCGTTATTACTTTGAACATATGCCATTGTATTTTGACCTTTATTATTTCTGATAAGAAATCAGCCATTAACCATCATTCCCCTGTACATGATTAATTTTTCTCTTCAAAATTTTCCCTGATTTGAAAAGCCACGTTTTTCATGAGATTTGGAGAATTTTCATCCATTATTGCTTTGATTAATTTTTTTCCTGCCCATTTCACTCCTCTTTCTGGGATTCTTTCCAGCATTTTTGGAATGGTTAACATTGCCCTCCAAGTTTCTCCTGCTTTGCACCTTTTTCTGTGATTGATTTCTCTGTTCTTCAGATTGGATATTTATCAATCTGTTTTCTACTTTATTGACTTTTCTGTCATCTCAGATCTGCTATTAAATCCATATTTTCCATTCATTACTTGAATATATATCTATTATAGCTGCTTGAAATGTTTGCCAAATTCAGCATTGTGCCCTCAGTCAACTTTTATTGACTGCTTTTTTCCTTGATTGTGGTCAGACTTTCCTGTTTCTTTTTATCTAATTTTTTTGCTTTAAAACTGGATATCATATTGTAATAACTGAATTGTTTCATTTCCTAAGGGTTATGGGTTTTTTGTTATTGTTTAGTAATTTGCCTAGAACTAATAGGTGGTGTATGTCGGACAATTGCACTGTCTGTACCCAGTTTTGTTATTTTTAAACTGACTCTGTAGGGATTTCCCATTTGTGTGGTTTAATGATCAATGATTTGGACCGCAGTGTAGACACCTTGATCCACTATGATATACATAGCTTGTGCCAGCTAAGCTGTGTCTGGGTTGAGAGATGTTTCAAAGTTGCAGCCACTTCTCACGTCTCCCTTGCCTGTCACGTGTGCTGAGTTTCTTCCATGTGTAGTATCTTCCATGTACAGTTAAGCCGTCAGCCAGGGACCTGTGAAGACCTTGTCAGTCTTTTCTATGGCTCTTTCACTTCTGAAGCTCTCCTTTAAATTTATGGTTTATTTAAATTTCCATAGCTATCCTGAAGTAGATCTATAAGCTTGGATTAGCAAAGCTAGGGTTTTCACACACACACATCCTCCTGCCCTGAATTGGGCCCCCCACATCTGGAGTCAAGAATTCTGGTTCTTGCCTACCATCAGACCTAAAGTTGATGAAAAGTTCTTGTTTTTACTGACAATATTGTTGGAGGGAAGAATAGCTCTAGGAAGATTCCTGATACTCTTGGCTATGGCTGAAGCCATTTTTCAAGGATAAACACATTTCAGTTTGTGGCCCGAAACTTTTTGACATTTTTTTCTAGAGGAAATCACTTAACTTCTTCATGTTGCTATTAATGTAAGTCCCTTCTAGGCCTACTTTAAATCCCCCGTCAGCTAGGTAGTCACTGTTACTGAATCCTTCTAGAACTACTTTTAAATTTTTGACCCAGGAGAGTATTTGATGTAAAATTATCTTGTTTTTCTGTTCTTAGGTTGCTTATGATGAAGCTACAGATGAATTTGCTTCTTACTTCAACAGACAGACTTCTCCCAAGATTCTCATTACAACATCAGATAGACCTCATGGGGTAATAAATACATTAATTTGTGTAGTCCTTGAATTCCTAATGTTCTTTTATTACTTAGACTATTTAAAGGAACGCTGTTCAGAAGAGATAATTATTGATTGCCTTGGATGATGCCTGTGAATAAGCTAAATAAAATGTAACTGGTGGTGGAATGTAGGTTTACCAAGCATGATTCTTAAGGATAAGGTTTCTCAACCTCAGCACCATTAACATTTGGGCTGTATCATTTTTCATTTTGGGGGTTGTCCTGCTCATTACAGGATGGTTAGCAGCATCTCTGGCCTTGATCTGCTGAATATCACCAGTACCAGCCATCCCCCATCCCCAGTCATAATCGGCAGAAACGGTGATGTTTTCAGACATTGCCAAAGGTCTCCTGGTGGAACAGAGTCACCACCGATGAGAGTCACTCACTGCTTTAGGATAATCAACCTTTGGTAAAGAATGAAACACTGTTCAGATTTCATTCTTTTCCTGGCCTTGCTCTCTATTAACATTTTATAATACTCATTGTATTTTTGCTGATAAGTATTGTTTTTACTTTTGAAGATTTTTGTAATTTTGTTTTACAGAGAACAGTACGACTCTGTGAACAGCTCTCCACAGTTATACCAAACTCACATGTTTATTACAGAAGAGGACTGGCTCTGAAAAAAATTATTCCACAGTGCATCTCCAGAGATTTCACAGATCTGATTGTTATTAATGAAGATCGTAAAACCCCAAGTATCCTTTGTTCTTTAAGGGAGGACTCCTGTTTTGCATGGTTTGTGTTGAGATTAGCAGTAATGGCAACTTTTTGTACACTGCAGGTACTTAGGCATTAGTAAATTTGGATTTTGTAGTTTGCTTCTGATACAAACCATATTTAGTAGGGATGTTTTCAAAAGGATTCAAACCTTGATTTAGGAAATGACTGTTACCTCTCTTAACCCTCTTAAGACTTGATTAAATTTTTAAATGTGGAGATGACACAGAAATACTTCTGGCTGTGTGTCATGACGTTGAACTTGTGGTGAATCTTGAAAAGAAATATTCAAACAGTTACTGATAATCTGCTATGTGGTAGGCACTGGTATGTCAGAAATAGCTTTCAAGAGCTGGGAAGAATGGCATTTACATGACTATAACTTAAAATAAGTGACAAGTGCTATAGTAACAGTGAAAACTGAGATTCAGAGCTTAATTTTGACTGTGTAAAAAGAGGTGGCATTTGAAGTGGGACTTAATGCATGAATAAACTGTTGCAGGTATTTAAGATAGCATGAATTAAAAAACAGACATGGTAAGATTAATGTGTATGGTGTATAAGAGATTGTACCACTGCCCACTGGTTGGGAAACACCAGGGGAGACAGGGCAGAAAGGCGGTTCAGCGCCACACTAATAACTTTGATATCAGCTCCTTCGGAAGGAGCTGATATGGAGAAGGGAGCTTAGGAGTCTCTGGTTTTGTGGGATGACAGTCAAAGCTGACAGCATATCCTAACCTTACGAACATAAAATGTCTGTACAAACATAAAAGTGCATTTTTAGGATTATAAGGTGTCCACATGGAGGTGAACTTAATTACTCTAGAATCCCTTCCTGTCTCATCCCCGTTACGTGGACTTTAGTTGAATGCTCAAATACCCTGTTGAAAGTGATGATCTGTTTTTCATATTGTGAAAAGAGAAAAGGTAGGACAATAGGTTAATCCATTTTTCTGAAAGATTTATGTTGACTTGTGTGTCTTGAGTTTGAGGTTTCTAAGTCTGTTCACCCAGAGGAACACATGCCTGTTCACCTAGCTACAGATTTTAGGAGCCTTTGGGCATAGAGGACCAATTATTTAAACAATTCAAGATTTATATTGGAGTTTAGTTATGTTCTTAGCTTTCTGAACAGATGGATTAATTCTGAGTCACTTGCCAAATGGACCAACTGCTCATTTTAAGATGAGCAGTGTTCGTCTGCGTAAAGAAATTAAGGTAAGTTTTAGGCATTGCTTGATTGGCATTGGTCTCATAATGTTTGCTTAAGTAGATGCTGTAACTAAAGAGCAGGCTGATTTTAATAATGGCATTTGCTCTCCTGATTAAAATGATAGTTTTATCTACTAACAGTTTCCTTGGGAGACTGATTACAGCAGACAGGCAAATAGCCTTGGATACTATGAAACATGTTCCTCTTCTAGAACACATTAGTGCATTAACAGCATATGAAATACTTTTAGACGTATCTTAATTCATGGGTTGGGTAAGCCATCTGTGGTCTGTTGTAAGATAAATTTTCATGTTTGTCATTTAAATTATAAAATTAAAATTGCGATGATATAGCTTTGCTAATTCATTGATTTTTCACCATTTTTCTAGAGAAGAGGCAAGGACCCCACAGAACACATACCTGAAATAATTTTGAATAATTTTACAACACGGCTGGGTCATTCTGTTGGACGGATGTTTGCATCTCTCTTTCCCCATAATCCTCAGTTTACTGGAAGGCAGGTTGCCACATTCCACAATCAACGGGATTATATCTTCTTCAGATTTCATAGGTGAGGGAGGTACCTTAACTCCTTGGACTTTGACTTTAATGATGAAATACATTTTCAACATAAACCAGTTTTCTAATGTGTTGTGACAGTTACTATAAATGAGAAATAGTCTTTTGAACCCGGTCATAATGTTAAAGAAGTTAGGTTTATGCAAACTAATTTCAACTTTTTTCTTTACCTTTGAAGATACATATTCAAGAGTGAAAAGAAAGTGGGAATTCAGGAACTAGGACCACGTTTTACCTTAAAATTAAGATCTCTTCAGAAAGGAACCTTTGATTCTAAATATGGAGAATATGAATGGGTCCATAAGGTACGTGCTTGCTCTTGAAAAGCCATTTAGAGTATTTTAATTATGGAATGAGAAGGAAACCATGCCTTTTTAAGCTTTGGGTTTTATACCTTAAGTTACTCTTCTGAATATCTTCCCTCACTGATGTGGTATTTGGCTCTGGTGATTAATCCTCATTCAAATAAAGTATCCTAAAGATCAGTAGTTCTCAAAGTAGGACCAGGAATATTACCGAGAAACTTGTTAAAGTAAATTGTTAGGCCACTGATGTACTGAATTGACCCAGCAATCTATAAGCCTGTATTACCCTGATTCTGGTACGTACTTGAGAACTGTAGACATTTTGTAGACATTTTGACATCATAATAAATCATAAATGAAAACTCTATTATTTTAAAACATTCTTTTCTATCTAGTAACCAGTAGTTCACTGATACGTGATTTTTACTTTAAAATTGTATCTAATGTACACATACATCTATTCGAGAAGTAACTTCCAACACCTTTTATATGAGACCTAAAGACTGATACTTCAGAGACCCAGTTTTTTAAGCACTGTTACCCATGGATTGTTTACTAACTTTTTTTACCCCCTAACTTTCAGCCCCGGGAAATGGATACAAGTAGAAGAAAATTCCACTTATAAAGTTAACTGAAGAAATAGTATTGGATTTTGCAGAGCAGGCCTATCTTGAGACTGTGACAGAAGATGCTTCAAAAGGGCATTTACTGATAACACCTTTCCTGTCTGAACAAATTACCTTGTGCCATTACCTACCACTTACTGTATCTGTAAGAAATACAAATAAATGTGATTTTGGTAAGAGATTAGGAAGTTGCAATTTAGGTTTCTTACACTTGGGGTAGCTGAATAATGAAGTTGGAATCAAAAATCAATGTAATATTCCCCTATGCACCTTCATGGAACATGCGGCTCAGATAAAAACGTTGCTTGGTAGATTACTAGGTAACCAACACACTGGTTTTATATCAGACTAATCTTTGATCTGGCATATAGTTTTTAATGCAGTTTTCTGAATGATTAACAGGCCAGGTGTCTGCAGTGTTTTAACATTCCCTTAAGCCTGTCAGAAAGGTAAACATTTTAAAGCAAAACAGTTTCCCAAGGACTCCAAGCAAAGTTGCAAATTATTAAAGCCAATCTTTGGTTGTTTTTCTTACTACATTGTACCTCATTCATTAAATTGTGGTACTCCAGGTGATAAGTTCTGTTTTTATGTATAGTGGTAATACCCTTACAAGGAGTTTATTAATTTATTATTAAAACACAGTTAACCCTGTAAATAACTTATGAATAGAAACTGTAGTATTAGTAACTTCCCCTAACCCTTAAAAGAAGTATGAAACTTACCTTCTATAGCAGTCTTGTAAACGTATGGCATAGAGTTATGTGAGAGGAGTTGGAAAAAACAGTAACAACCCATAATGACAATAGGAAAATTGCCATTTATCTTAGGTGTTCAAAACAAATTAACACACAGTGTATTACCAATAATTAAGCAAAAACCCTTTTATACTAGTATTTATTTGTATGCTGCTGCCAGTGTATATAAAATAATCATCCTTGTGAAATAGAAATTCATGAAAATTCAGAGAGGTAGATGTTAAGGACTGACAAAAGCAGAAGTTTGTATAGTGTGGCACGTGTTACAGGCATAAGCTTTTTGTACAGGCTTCAAATTTAGCTCTCTTCAAATATTCACTGGTTCATGAAAAGTGGTTTAGAACACCTGAAAATGGGAAAAAAGGTGAATTAGGGTAAAGTGTCAAAGAACAATATTTTTTTTTTCTGAACAGTAGTACATTTTGTATTACTTTTACAGCATTCATCTAAATGGCAGTTTATAAAAGTACTTTAAGCAGACACATCACAATTTCTAGAAAAAAATGAAAAACAGGATGGGAAATGACTATAACATAACTTAATTTCAAACCCACTCTAAAGTATACATCATTTATGGTTTTTAAATAAAGACTTAAAGATTAACTTTACCAAGATCATTTCCAGAACACTCTGATCTTAATTTTTAAAAAGGTTAATACAAACATCTGATAACATTGAGAAAAATATGAACACCCCTCCAAAATAAGCAATAGCATTGGAGAGAGTAGTCTGGTAATATCTAGTAAGGTAGATGTGTACACCAACAGGCACTATACTGATCTTTTAACAGCAAAGAACTGGAAATAGCCTAAATGCAACTCAACAGGGTAGTAGACAAAAAGATATATAGCCATTAAAATGACTAAACAATCTACACGGGGGAGATAAACTAAGAAATGTGTGTTGTAGAAAGTAAAAACATGGGTACAGCAAACTTAAGATGCTATCTATGTGGAAAGGTAGGAAAGGTGTATCTTTTATTAAACTCTTTAAAGATGGGTTTAATCTTGTGTATTTATTGAACAAATCAATCCTGGATAAAGAAAAAAACTAGGTTTAGGGACAAAGGTTGGGGAGGTGAGGAAAATTACGTAATTCAGGATGGTAGATACAAGGTCCATCTTTATACTTAAAAGGTTGAGATATTCTATAACAAAAGTGTGCAGTCAGTGCAAATTACTGGGTTGGCCCAGAAGGTCATTTGATTTTTTTCCATGAGATGGCTCTAGTAGCACTTAGTTGTCTTTAAGTTAGGTTGTATAATGTGATAGCTGTCATAGCAGCGTGCATTAGAAAAAAATCAGAACTGGTGACTTTTTTTGTAGCCATTTTAATATTGAAAATGAAAATATGCAACACTTTCAGCATATTGTGCATTATTTCAAGAAAGGTTAAAGATACAACTGACATGCAAAAAAGATCTGTACAGAGTAGGGAGAAGGTGCTCTGATCAAACCTGTCACAAGTGGTTTGCAAAGTTCTGTGCTGTAGATTTCTCGCTGGATGATGCTGCACGGTTGGGCAGACCAGTTGAAGTAGATAGTGATCAAATCAAGACATTAACTGAGAACCATCAATGTTATACAATGAGGGAGATAGCCAACAGGCTAAAAATATCCAAATCAATAAAGTTATTGATGAGAATGAAAACTGTTATCTTTTATTTTATGAAAAAATCCATACAGATGTTTTGGCCAACCCAATAAAGAAAAATGGGCAGGGGGAAGGCAGAAAAATAGTAGCAAATAGGCTGGCAAGGGACCAGCATCAAGCTCCTGGTGGAATACCAAAGTTTCATAAGACCAGTGTTAATATAATTTAAATGTCAAAACATCCCTTTTAGTGTAGCCTCAAATTTGGAAACTTCAGTACTCAATCAAGTTTAATTAAGTTACAGTACAACCATTGAATATTTCATTTACAAATAATATTTAATGAAATAAAATACATAAGTGTTTTTAAAAGGCAGAATGAAAACCTATATACTATAGTCCTTGTTTTTTTTTTTTAATCCTCACCCAAGGATATGTTTATTGATTTCAGAGGGGGAGGAAGGGAGAAAAAAGAGAAACATCCAGTGTGAGAAACATCAATCAGTTGCCTCTTGTAAGCACCCTGAACCTGACCCTGAGGGGCAATCGAACCTGCAACCTAAAAGTATACTGAACGATGCTCCAACCAACTGCGCCACCCAGCCAGGGCGATCCTCATTTTTTAATTCTTTTTCTCTTAAATGGAAATATCTGCTAGCAATGGTTATTTCTAAGAATATTCATCATGGTAATTTGTCATTTTCCTTATACTGTCTATTGATATATTACCTGTGCTAGTTTTTTTTTTTTAATTATAAAAACCATATATTTTTAAAAGCTATGAGGATAGATTCACCTGTAGATTCTTTGTACCCATGCCACTACCACTCATTGTGGGCCTAGGACTACCAGCATTAGCATAACTTGGGAGCTTATAAAAAATGTTGATTTAGGGCCTCACTCCACAACACTGGTTTAGAATTTGCATTTTAACAAAGTGATTTGTAGATACATCAAATTTGAGAAGAAATGCTTTCACATCAGAATTTTTTTAACTGGCCAAAAGTGTCTCAAATCTTAATATCCACAAATACTGCCAGGATTAATAACCATTACTTTACTTTGAAACCTGGGTTATTACCCCTACCATATTTAAACACTTATTTGTAGACTGCTGTGAAATACAGACTATTAACAGCCAGTTAAGAGCCAGGCTTCTTAACAGTACTTTATATCAAATGAAAATAAGCCATTTTGTAAAGTGAATATAACTGAACAGAAGTTTCAAAAGGATCTTCATATACAATAAAAATACATAATTTTCAAAAACTGCCATGAAGAATTAATACTGCCAGAAGCAAGGAACTATTAAATAGGAGATAGACTTAAACACAATTACTTTCATATGGAAACCTGTTATTCAAAGGTGTCCCCCCAACCCCTCGCTGTTACAAAAATCTTAACCTCCTTAACCAATCATTGCATTTACTGGAAACGTTGCACACAAGCTTCCTGGACACTCCCAAGTCTACAAAAAGTAATTAGGGAGGGCACAACTATGTAACATGGTATTTTAGGAAGCAGCTTCCTGGACTTTGAGGAGTCAGAATGTTTGTAAAGGGTGTGTGCCATACTCTTTTTTTTTTTTAAGTACTATTAGTTTAAGTTTGCTTTTCATAGGTCAATACTAGTGAGTACACACCCTAACTACGAAGGTTTATTAAAAGCAGCCTTTTAAATTATCCGTAGCATGTGTTAGTTACATCTAATATGTTTTTGCACACACAGACATTTGATCTGGAAGGCACACAATAAAATTTAGAAATCAGCTTATCCAACTGTTATGTTTTCTCTTGTATTCACAAATCCCCATTCTTTGCTATGTTGCCCCATAGCTTAGTTTTATTGAAACAAAAGCATCTGAATCAATCCAAATCAACTGGTTATACTTTAAAAGTAATCCCTATAAACAATGCAGATTTTTAAAAACTATTTGTTGCGTACATAAAAATTAGTTATCTAGGGGCCTCCAAATACACCATTAGGCTATGCTTTAAGAACTGTCACTTAAAGCAGTGTAATTTTCTACTCCCTCTTCTATACTCTTTATTAAATCATCTATTTCACCCTCTTTATGATAAAATAGAAACAATTAGTCTTCGTGACTACTAAATCAGTAAATATCATCAAATCTTCACAAATCCAGACGGGAAACGCAGTGCCAAACGGCACAGAAACGGCAAAGAAAAAGACAACTAGTTATTCCCGCTCTGTGTGGGGTTTGTTGTCTTACTTACCTTTAAAGATTCATTTCACTACAAAAAGGAACAGACTTTCTGGGGTCTGAAGGGGTTGGTACTTGAAGATACTCCAGTCAGCAAGGGGTCATGTTGAGCATTCTGCAGACAGAACTGTTTCAAATCTGCAGCTGCCTGGGAAACCTATACATAACAAAGGGGGAAAGAGTTGAAGGTGATAATGTTTTAAGAAAATTTTCTCAAATCTTTCAAAATACCTGTAATAAACATTTCTCTTAAAACAAGCTAATTGAAGGTCACTACTGAGCTCTTAAAGCACTGAATGTAAATAAGACTATAGTTTGTTTTATTTTGCTTATTAGAAGCATCAAATGATTCAGTACAAACAGTACAATTCCGTTTAGCTGCAAAGTACACCACATTTTGCTAGTTTATTAATAAGCAGGCTGTTCAAGTGTAACCTTGCGGGTAAGCAACATCTTGCTTTTTATTAAAAGCAATACATACGATAGGTAAAGCAAAAAGCATTAAAATTCTAGCAAACTATTACTTCACCTTGAAAGCATTATTACTGGAAAAAATGCTACTACTGTGAATGAACACAGCATTCTAAATCTAAACCATTCAGCTG